GAAAGAGTGACTCAAGAGTCCTAAATCAAGAATGGGAAAGCTTAGCTGTTACAAAAAGTGTTTCCGAGCTGTGATATCCGCCAAAAGGTGCGGGTTACTAGGTTCAGACTTGGTAAAATGCCCAACATTTCGGGTTTGAGTCTGAGTTTGAGTCCGATTCTTTTTTAGCTTACGTAATGAAAGGTAACAGTGTAACTTTTATGTCTGTTTGCTACGGGGGTTGTATTTTGAAGGCTTTGCAGGCTGAAGAGCAGAAACAGTCCTCTGTATAATGCAATACATTGCAAACAGGCCAGTCCAGAAACAAAGAAAAGACGTCGTCTTGAAGACAGCAGATTTTCCTCCAACATCTCTATGTGTGTTAAGTATTAATGGAGCCATCACAGAAGTGGAAGTGACCTTTGCCAAGGGCACTGACACGACCCCAGACCATGACAGACCCTGGCTTTTGGACTTGCTGGTAACCGTCTGGATGGTCCTTTTGGTCTTTGGTCCGGAGCACATGGCGTCCATTCCTTCCAAAAAAAAAAAAACCTGAAACACTGATTGGTCTGACCACAGTGCACGTTTCCACTGTGTGATGGTCCATCCCAGATGCCTCTGAGCCCAGAGCAGTCGACTTCTGGACACTGTTGACACAGGGCTTCCTTTTGGCACAGCACAGTTTTAAGCTGCATTTATGGATGTAACTATGTATTGTAGTGCCTGACACAGGTGAGCCAAAGGAATCCTGAGCCCATGTGGTTATATCGCTTATAGAAGAGTGATGATTCTTGATGCAGTGCTGTCTGAGGGATCAGAGAGTTCGGTCATCCAGCTGAGGCTTGGTCCTCATCCTTTACACACTCAAATCCCTCCAGATTCTTTGAATCTTTTAATGATGTTATGCACCATAGAGGGTGACAGATCCAAATCCCTTCCTATCTTTCTTTGAGGAACATTGTTTTTAAACATTTCAATAATTGTCTCACACATATGTTAGCAAACTGGTTGTCCTTGGCCCATCTTTGCTCCTAAAGGGCTTGGCCTTTCCTGGATGCCACTTTTGTAAAAAATCATGATGCAGTCACCTGTTGACATCATCTGGTTCAAATGGAATCATCATTTAATTGTTTTACCTCATCACTGGCCCTGAATTGCAGCCGTCACAACTTCTGGAATGTGTTGCAGCATCAGAATTGAAAGGAGTGTTTATTTTGAATAAAAAATAAAATTGATGAGGTATCACATCAAATGTGCTGCTGTATTGTTTTCGATGTAATATAGGACAAAGATAATTGTTTTCAGTTTTAATTTTGATTTTACATACCATGCCAACTTTTTATGATTTAGGGTTGTACATATACTGAATAAACAGACAACTGTATTATGTAGTATTATAGTGCTAACTCAATGTGAGGTGTTGCTGCTCTTGCAAAAGATCAACCTAGCAGTAGCAAAAGTAATACTTCCAGTAATCAGAAGATCTATTTTAATTTTTTTAATTTTCTTCCACAATTAAAACTATGTCAGGCACAGTAGGAGGAAAAAAGAACAACAAAGAAAGACAGACTATAGTTAAGTTAAGAAAGGCTACAATCTTAGTTTATTACCTGAGCTCCTTTCATGATCTTCTTTGCTTTTGCATTGAGGTAGAAATCTCCCCACAGGGTTTTGAGTAGCACCTCTGCTTTAATACCCATTCTCTGGCTGTAGATCTGGGCAAACTGCTGGATGCTAAAAAACAGAAAATCAGACTCTTAGTCTACTACTTACATTAAATACAGGCTCACTGACAAAAGAGAAGAGCACTGATTTGTATTGCAAACAAGAGTACTGTGTTTATATTTTGGTAAACTGGTTTTACAGTCATGGCCAAACATTTTGGCACGCCTACATTTCTGTCAGATAACGCACCTCTTCTCCCAGAAAATGGTTGTAATCACAAATTCTTTGGTATTCTCGTGTTTATTTCTTTTGTTTGCATTGGAACTACACAAAAAGCCAAATCTGATCCATTCCACACAGAACTCCTAGAATGGACTGGACAGAATTATTGACACCCTCAACTGGTAGCCCACCCTTTGGGCAAAATAAGTGAAATCAGTCACTTCTTGTAACCATCAGTGAGTTTCTTCCACCTCTCTACTGGAGTTTTGGACCACTCGTCTTCTGTCAGCTGCTCCAGGTCGCAGATTTGAAGGCTTCCTTCTCCCAGCTGCTGTTCTGAGATCTCTCCACAGGAGCTCTATGGGATTTAGATCTGGACTCATTGATGGCCACTTCACAACTCTACAGCACATTGTCTGAAACCATTTCTGGTGCTTTCTGAAGTCTGCTCTGATGGAGACCCAACTTTCTAACACTGGGCCTTACATTGTGCCCCAGAATTCGTTGGTAGTCTTCAGATGCCATAATGCCATACACACAGCCAAGACATCCAGTAACTGAAGCAGCAGAGCAACCCCAAAACATCAGTGAACCTCCACCGTGTTTGACTGTAGGGACGTGTTCTTTTCTTTGAAGGCCTCATTTCATTTTCTGAAAACAATAGAATGATGTGCTCGACCAAAAAGCTGTATTTTAGTCTCATCTGTTCACAGGACAGTCTCCCAGAAGTACTGTGGTTTCCTCAGGTAAGTTTTGGCTTCTTTATGGCTCTGTGTCAGCAGTGGGACCCCTGGGTCTCCTACCATAACATCCCTTGTCATTTACATGGCGACAGATAGTGTGAGCTGACACTGTTGCACCCTGTGCCTGCAGGTCAGCTTGGATTAGTTTGGAAGTTGATCAAGGTTCTTTATCCACCATTCCAACAATCCTTCATTACAATTTGTCATCTATTTTTCTCTTTCGTCCATATCCAGGGAGATTAGCTACAGCACCATGGGCTGTAAACGTCTTGACAACGTTACACAGTGGACACAGGAACAGCCAGATCTCTGGAGACGGACTTGAGCCTTGAGACTGTCCAGGCTTTTCCACTATTGTGGTTCTCAAATCATCAGACAATTCTTTGCTCTTCTTTCTTTTCTCCATGCCCAGTGTGGTCCAAATAACACAAAGATTGAGTCACCTTTTCTCTGTTTAACTGGTTAAAAGTGTGATTTCTATGTTGCTAGAACCTGTTGGTTTCTACAGGTGAGTTTCATTACAAATTAAAGGACCATCACAGGCTGGAAAACAACTGTTTCTAATGAGTTTGACAAGGTGTCAATAATTGTGTCCAGTCCATTCTTGGAGTTCTGTGTAGAATGGACCAGATTTGGCTTTTTGTGTTGTTCTGAAGCAAACAAAGAAGTGAACATGAGAATACCAAAGAATCTATGATTGCAATAATTTTCTGGGAGAAGAGGTGTGTTGTCTGACAGAAATACAGCTTTGACTGAAGTGGAGCTTTGGTAACAGCTGAGGATCAGGGTGAACACGATTGTGCACTTGTCTGGATCTCAGCTTCCTCCCTTTTTTCTACAGAAGATAAATTCAAGTCCTGGCTTCAGAGCAGAGAAAACTAGGTTGTCTCTGCTGGTACTTAATTGGTTTATTTATAGCAGAGAGTAATCACAAGGACACAGCTACCCACAGAACTAGGTCTTCACCTCCTCATCACTGACTGCCAAACACCAAACTACTGCATGGACACTTTATGTCACCGTGTTGTTAAGTGGCTGGCTACTGTAATCTGTCAGTTACACGTAATGAAGTGCTAAGGGAAAGCACTGTGCTTTGAAAGTCCGTAACTGGGTAGAAGAATGAGGTCACTTAAGGCATCAAACAGGCTGAAGTTTGTTCTGTTTGCCCTTTGGTGGTTCTATAAATCATGTTGAAGGTCACAGTGTCACAAGTATTAAATCCAAGTTGACAGCACCATCTAGTGGACATGAAAATGTTTCTTTGGGTGTGTCTGAGACAATCAAACTGATTTTAGCTACTGATTAATTTACTGGGTTGTGGCCACATTAACAGTTTGTTAGGCCACTGGCAAAAAAATATTATGAATACACTCCCACCTCACATTTACTGTGTCACATTTAGCTTGAATTTATTTATTTCAAGTGACAATTATAAGAATATACACAATGTAAGTATGATATCCACTGAAGGAATAAAGATCTTACAATTATGGCAAAAGGGATCTAGACAAGGTCTCAAGAACAGGTAAAAATGCATGAGTCACATTAATACCCCCTAATTTGAGTTGATAATATTCTGCAGTACTTTTTATTATCATATAAATTCAATTTAATCATGTTCTGCAGGTGGCTCACATCCTTTTTGAACTCTTCCCCTCTAGACAGCGCTAGGTCACTGTATGCCAAAACAACCAGACACACAAACAGTTCCTTCTCCTGGGCCGTCACTCTGATGAAAATATAGCCCAGGTTTATATGTATAACAAGATACAGCACCACCGTGCAATAACCTTTAAGTATAATCACTGAACAGGCCAAACAGCTCTTTTTTATGTTGTTTATATGTAGATATATTTATCAATAGATTGTTGTTTTTTGTCTTCCTGTTTTTTACTTATTATTCAGTTTTTTACTCTGTTTCAGTCCTATTTTAGTTGGTGCACATTGGGAGCTATTGAACTGGACACCAATTCCTTGTATTTTTACTTGGCAATAAAGATTATGATTTATAAAAAAATAAATTAAAAGCCAACAGTATTCAAGGAACCTTATGGCTAAGGGCCTGGGGCTGATTCCATCTTTTGTTAGGAAACAATCCATTTCACATAAAACTATGCATTTTATTCGATTTAGCTTTTAATTAGTTTCAAATAAGCTTTTTGCTGGTTTTGCTTGTGGTTGAACGGGGCTTTGGATGCGGATCTTCATTTGTTATAACCCAATTCTCTACTGTTCTGTAAAGCTCTTTGAATTGGTTTTGTGTGATATTGTGTCATTTCGCATTCTGTCTGCTACTTCCTGTCCCAGACATTTATTTTGGTGATCACTTCCTGTTTTCTACATCTCATGAGGCCCAACCTTACACTGTCCATGAACACCCTCTATCACTGTGTCTTGTTTGCCTTCCCAGGGTTATCCTATATAACCAGCTGCTCTTCACATTGCCCCTCAAGCTGCTTCTCAGACATTGCTCAAGTCACAACTCTAGATATCCATAAAGTTCCTTTTTTTTTAAGAGGCAAAGGGATTATTAATTGAGGGCATTGAGTTATGTGTGTGAAGGTGTGTAGTGTGTGTGTATCCAACTCTATGCAGACTGATATTCATTACTCAAGAAAACAGAATTAAACCAAATAAACTAGGAAAGTGGAGGGGGTATAAATGTAAAGGAATGATTGCAGTAATAACATAAAGAAGAAAAGGAAAAATAATAATAATAATAATAATAATAATAATAATAATAATAATAAAGCAATATCAATCATATACACTATATACTTTTCCGTTCACATACTTATGTATGCACTCAGATATATATGTAAACACATTCATAAAACAAAAATAAATGAAATTAACAGATCAGTAAATGATTAGAAAGAGAGGGAAGAGGAGAAGAGGAAATCAAATGCATGTTCAACAAGTGCTGGCTTCATCCTTAAATAGGGGGCACCTGATTCACACCTGTTATTTCACAAAATTGATGACCTCACTGATTGAATGCCAATTAATAATAATCTTTTTTGAGTTAGTGAAATTTACAATCTCCTCAGCTAGCATGGAAGGATGCAGGGGGTTGTTGATTATATTGATCTTTAATTTAATTATGGATTCTAACTGTTGGTACCAGAGAAATTCTCCTCTCCCAACTCCGTACTTCTGGACTAATGTATTAAATGATATAAACTGGTTGTGATTTATTCGTCTGGAGTGTTGACACGGAAACTTTGGGTTTCTTGTTATTCCAGTAAAATTGTGAAGTTAGAGAATCGAGTGATTTGAACCATTTATCTGTTGGTGTTGTGGGAAGCATCGAAAACAGGTAGTTAATTTATGGTAAAGTTTTCATCTTGACTGTAGCAATTCAGCCAATGAGTGACAGTGGGAGGTTGGACCAGCGTTTAAAATCATCTTCTATCTTTTTTAGCAGAGGAGTATAGTTAAGGTTAAAAAGTTCTGACAGCCTAGCAGAAATACAAATGCCTAAATATTTAATGTTGCCAGTATGAAGTGGTAGGGGACAGTCTTGAGCTGCAGAATCCCAGGCATCTTCAGAGAGTGGCAATATGGTGGATTTATTCCAGTTTATTTTGTAGTTA